GGCGGGGCGGGCGCGATCGCTGGAGCGCGAAAGAAAGCGCGCACTCCGGCGCGCGCCGCAGGTAAACACCGCCCGGATGCGGAAGTGCGTAATGGAGGGTTCCTGAGAGCGCTGCAGGAGAGGGCGGAGGCCGAGTGGCGACGAACGGCACGGAGCTAGCAAGGAAACTACACAAACACACGGAGTAGCGATATGCGCAGGAGTCGTAAGAGACGTTTGCAATGGACATTTTGAGGACAGGTAGACTCGAGTGGAGAGTTACAAATGCCGTAGAATTGTTTTGATAAAGAAGGACAAATAGGAAGAGAAGTAATATAAGACGGATTATAGGGATTAACAGTGACTATAAAGAAAATATTAGAAACGAAGGGAAAGAGAGAAATGGTTGATTACATAAGTACGAAAATGAAAGTGGAAGAACACGCTACAGGGAAAACAATCTCAAGAGTGTTTGATGACACGCAATTTTATGAACATGTTGAAAGATACATCAGTACAGTTGATAAATCATATGAAAAATTTTTACATCCTTAACACTCGTATTACGGATGTGTTGGAAACAAATTATAAAATACCATAATACCAGTATAATATTGCATGTAATAATATTATACTAATACTTTATATATTATTTAAATTACTATGGAATTATAATCCCGTAAACTTAACTTTTCTCTGACACGAGTATTTCAGACAACGTAAAATTGTATTCAATACCTTTGCAGAGCAGCATTCGTCTCTTGCTGATCGTTTCACTGTTCTTTTCATCCATTGTCAGAGTCAAAGATATACGTACTAAGCAATCGTGCAACGAAAAGGACGCGCCGACAAGGTCTGCAATTCAACACAAGCGAACAAAACCTTCGCCCTTGACTGCGAACGCTGGCGCAGCAGCGGCCGGGAGAGCGGAACGGGCCGAGGGACTAGAGCAGAGGGCGGAGGGTCTAGGGCAGAGGGTGGAAGGCATAGAGCATAGGGCGGAGAGTGGAGGGCGAAGGGCAGAGAGTGGAGGGCGGGAGACGCTCGTGCAAATGCAATTGCAGGAAACCGTTACGCCCCTAGGATAGAGCAATGAAACAAGGAGAGTTCACCAACACTCTGGAAAATATCGTGTGGATGTACTCTTTGAAGCACATGTGTGGCGACTAGTGTTGGTGGACAAGCCGCACTATTTCTCTGGAACGAATGACGTCGGTCGTTTCGGTGGTAGGGTGTACATCGATCGGATGTCATCGTGACGAGGCAGAATGGCTCCGGTAAGCAGGAGTAGACGATTGTTGACCGAGATTGCAGCGCGGGGTGAAGGGCCAGATAAGCTAAAAGGTGTGCGATAACGCCGCCTGTCGAAACGGGTGGCAACGGGCAGTAGCAGCTGCAGCTAGTCGGTGGCTGTGGCTAGGCGGGTTCCCGGCTGGCGCTGATGATTACGGGCGGGGCGGGGCGTGGCGGGGCGACGCGGGCTGCGTGGGGCGATAGCGAACGAGGGCTGTCGGAAATGTACGGGGCTCCCTGACACCCGGTGCCGCGGGCGCTCGAGCGCGCGCGGACGTGACGCGTCGTGTGTGTGGAGCGGGGACGAGCAAGAGAGCTCACTCGCCCACAACGAGGTGGCATCGGAGGCTACGGCTGTAGAGGTGGGTATTGGACGCGTGTGAGGCAATGAACGTCACGGTGAGGGCGCGGCGTGGCGGCGCAGGGCAGCAGAAGAGACTGAGGGAGGCAGGAGCGAATGCAAGAGGATGGCGGGTTACGAGATAAAACGCATGAATTACAGACAGGGCGGTGGATACTTGGGGTGGGTATGCGATGATACGTGGATTGAATTGAAGAACATAATTTTTATAATCGACTTCCTTGTCTTTGCGGGGACCATTTGGCAACCTCTTTCAACGTTACATCGAAACTTCTTTGTTGTCAATTGTATGTGTCAACTAATACCTGTCGACCACATTTTTATATTACTTTAGCTGTATATACGTATGTAAAGTAACTATTTAACTGTTATTTTGATTGTTGCGATATTTTATTTGATTGCGTTTATTTCTGTTTCGCAGGTATGTACCCTCCGTAATAGGAGTTGCCATATCGACCTTGAAAGGCAGAGGGACGTATGAAACTTATGAATTGGTGAGTCATGACATCTCAAGGATTCCAAAACTATTATTGTAGACTTTACGAGCGCACAGTTTTGATTAGAAATAAAAGTAATTAAAACTTTACAATGCTCTAATGAATGCAATACCCCGGTTTTTATACGAATTATGACAGTAAATGAAAGTGAATAATCTTCCTCGAAATGGCCAGAAATTGAAGATAAAATTAAGTACTGACAAAGAGAAGCAGAAATCTACATACACCTGAGGCGGATTGTATTTTCCGAGAAATTTTAATCGAGATGTAATTTTGTTTTCAATTTTAATTATAATGTTAAAAATATTTGCGGTCGCGTTACCATCAAATCAATAGGGACGATTGAAATAATTTTGCGCGACATGTAAATTTAATAATTCAAAAATGGTT